ACAACAACAACAACAACAACAACAACAACAACAACAACAACAACAACAACAACAACAACAACAACAACAAACAGACGAGGTTACCCAGTGAGCGACTTCTGGCAGACCTCCAGCTGCTCCTGTAGATGAGGCAGGATCTGTTGCATGGTGTCGTCACCGGCGCAGCAGCCAATCACATTGTCGTTCTCATGAGCTCTCTGCATCACCTTCATCCAGGACTTGTCGATCAGCTGGAACCGCTTGGATTCCTGCAGGAGGTATTGCATTGTGACTTCGTGAATGTTTGTTTGTGTGTTAGTGTTATTCTGGAGAGCGTGTGTATGTAGGCCTATGTCCGTTCACTTGTATTCTGTGTTGAGATGGTGTTGGATGGAAAGCGCATAGAAATGTATTGTACGAAAGTAGGAGCTATAGAAATTAAGTGCTTTATTGCTGTCATTATTCATTTTTTGTAGCGAGGGGATGTGCAGTTCTTTGTCAGTAGGAGGGGTAGAGGGGTGCTTGTCCCACTCAAGGTAAGCATTCACTATGTTTTTCCAACATCTTGGGTGATCAATTTTGGGTTGAAATTAAGTCTTATATACGTTATTATTAAAGATAACACAAAAATAGATTTTTTTTAAATTTAAATTTTCAAATACACACTCAACCCTGATTACAAAGCACAGGCTATGGGCTTTTTCAGTACAGAAGTAGCAACACCTGAACAAGTGCACAGGGAGGCGGGGAAGAAAAACCTCCAACAAGACTGTGCAGAATGAATTTCTTCTACCTGAGATAACTACCTGGCAATATCTCTTGCTACCTAGGGTAACTACTTGCAATATCTCAACCTACCTGGGGTAGCTGCTTAGCGATATCTCCACCCACAAAGACAGCTTCCAGGTACACCCACAGATTCTGCACCACGATCCATTGGTCTAAAATGTCCGCTGTGTTGCTCAAGTTTTGAACCCACATCTGGATTTTTGGTTTGTATGGAGCGTTGTATCTGCGATGAGAAAAAACTTATTATTTTAGCTCAATCAGAAATAGTTGGCGTATTTAAACAACGGTATCTGATGACTTTCGTCTTTCGGATTCGAACCTGAAGACCCTGTCACCAAGGCAAGCTAGTCAGTCAAATGAGCCTCAACAGAGTTGATTTTTCCCCTAGTAAATGATAAGCAAGCACAAGAATGATTGTTTACCAGGAGCTGAAAACACTCCCCATTTCAGAAAACGGGCACAGAAACCTGACCTGGAACAAACAAAACAAAAACTCAGGTCAGGCAAGTTGAATAAAAAAGATGGGATGTTTAATTACAGAAATTGATGTCAGAAAAGCAACACTCCACAACTGAAAAAGCTACAGAGGAGGAGGAGATGGAGGAGGAGGAGGACGAGGAGGAGGACGAGGAGGAGGACGAGGAGGAGGACGAGGAGGAGGACGAGGAGGAGGACGAGGAGGAGGGGGAAGAGGAGGCATAGGAGGAGGAGGCATAGGAGGAGGAGGCATAGGAGGAGGAGACATAGGAGGAGGAGACATAGGAGGAGGGGGAGGCATAAGAGCAGAACAAGGAGGAAGAGAAGACACAAGGTGAGGTTCCCACCTATTGCTCATGAGAGAGCTGAGGATCATGAGGGAGTCCTCTAGGGCAGAGATGGTCTCCACTGTGTCTCCGGGCTTGAGCAGGAGCTCTCCGCGGTTCTTGAAGTTTGAGAATGTGAGTATTCGGCCCGTCCAGTCCTGCATGACTTGCTTCAGCTTGGCCTCAATGTCCTTCTCCTTCACAGCTGAGATACATATGTCCTGAACACACACAAGCAGCCACGGTAACAGAAGAAAAAGGGTTGGGGGAGGGACAGAGATTTCTGTTGATTTCCCATGAGAATTTTATTATCGCCAAATTTAATTTGGAAGGCAACGTGATCAATCAAACTAACCCCTCCCTCCCTCCCCGCCCTCTCTCTCTCTCTCTCCCTCTCTCTCTCTCTCTCTCTCTCTTTCTCTCTCCCTCTCTCTCCCTTTCTCTCTCTCTTTCTTTTTCTCTCTGTCTTTCTTTTTCTCTCTGTCTCTTTCTCTCTGTCTCTTTCTCTCTGTCTCTGACTCTTTTTCGCTCTCTTTGTCTCTCTCTTGTCCTACACTCTCTCTCTCTCTCTCTCTCTCTCTCTCTCTCTCTCTCTCTCTCTCTTTCTTTCTCTTTCTCTTTCTCTCTCTCTCTTTCTCTCTTTCCTCTCGCCCTCCACACTCCCCCCTCTCTCCCCCTTCACCTTCTCTCCCTCCCTCTCTTCTCCTTACCCCTCTCTTTCTCTCCATCCCTGTCACTATCCCCAACCATGAACCTGAAGTGCACGAGGGTATGGAGAAGAATAGAACGTTAAAAACATCAGAAAGAGACTATAACATGTGTTGTCGCAACTGACCTCTACATCGTCCTTAACCGGTAGCAGCGGGGCTGACATGATGTCCTTGAGGTGTACGTTCTCCATCACCTGCTCCATCGGTAAGTCCGACGTGACGTCAAAATCAAACTTGTACTTGGCCGCATCCTGAATTCTCTGCCAGTGGCGACCCTAAAATACATAGACAAAAATCGGTCTCTGTGTTAGTGGCGAATAATAATAATAATAATAATAATAATAATAATAATAATAATAATAATAATAATAATAATAATAATAATAATAATAATAATTAATAATAATAATAATAATAATAATAATAATAATAATAATAATAATAATAATAATAATAATAATAATAATAATAATAATAATAAATAGCTTTTGTATAGCGTATATCCCGGCTCGACAGCAAGCTCTGTGCTTTTTTTCACTATATATCATACCCCAGCCTTTGACAGTATAGACCGAGCGACACTATGGAAGATAATGCGACACCACGGAATCCCGCAGAAGTTGGTGAACCTCATCAAGAGCATATACGAAGGGACAAGTTGCAAGGTTGTGCATGATGGCAAGCTCACTGACAGCTTTGACATCAAGACTGGTCTGAGACAGGGATGCTTACTATCACCGTTCCTCTTCATATTGGCAGTCGACTGGCTGATGAAGGAAACCACCAGAGGACACAGAAATGGTATACAGTGGACACCATGGACACAGTTGGACGATCTGGATTTTGTAGACGACTTGGCGCTTCTGTCGCACACCCAGGAACAGATGCAAGCAAAGACTTCAGTATTAAACAGCCTATCGGAGTCTGTTGGATTGAGGATCCACCCCGGAAAGTCAAAGGTCCTAAGGACAGATGCACAACGAAAGGAGCAGGTCACAATAGAAGGAAAGGCACTAGTAAACGTTGAATCCTTCTACTATCTTTGGAGTATAATTGACAGAGAGGGAGGAACATGTGCTGAAATAAAGTCCCGCACTGGAAAAGCACAGGCTGCTTTCATATCTTTGGATAGGATTTGGAAGACCAGAGATATCTCACTTCAAACAAAGCTGAGGATTTTCAATTCAAACGTGAAGTCGGTCCTGTTGTATGGATGTAAGACATGGAACGCATCACAGACTTGCATAAAGAGGATCCAGGTTTTCTTGAACAGGTGTCTAAGAAAGTTACTGGGGATCAGGTGGACAGACAGGGCCATCAATGTGGAAGTGTTAAGGAAAACAAGACAGATCCCAGTCAGAGATGAGGTAGGAAGAAGGCGGTGGCGATGGATTGGACATATTCTCAGGAAGTCAGGCAGCTGCATAACAAAGAAAGTTTTGGATTTTAACCTACTGGGCAAGAGATCAAGGGGAAGACCTCGTGGAACCTGGAGAAGAATCTCAGAAATCGATGTACAGAAAAGTGGGAAGACATGGAATAACATCAAGAGGCTAGCCTAGGATAGAGAAAGGTGGAAGGTGTTTGTCCGTGGCCTATACCCTTGTGCAGGGTGAGAAAGGCAATGATGATGATCATACCCCCAGCAGACCATAGAACACTCAGAAACATTCTCAGCTTCCCGGAAAACATACAGTGCAAGCAGCTGATCAACCATTCAGACACTAACAAACTGACAAAATCTTTCACTGTCTATTCTGGGTATCCGACCTCATTCCCACCTGGGTGAAGGGAGAAAAATTCGTGTAATGTGCCTTTCCCAAGGACAACTTCGGGCCCTAACGGTATTCGAACCACGACCTTCCGGTTGCGAGTCCGAGAGCCTAATCACTAGGCCACCGACGGTAAACAGTACAACTGTTTTACTTCTAGTTAGAGTTTTACGGCACTTGTAATGCAACTATTAGGTAATGAGTATCGAAGATTAGATTTGTTACTATAGAGTATCATACAAAGGAAAGAAGAGGGAGGGGTTATGTCGATAATGGTTAATACGACAGAAAGAGCAAATCACACCCAAAGCACCCGCCAACAATCCAACAGCACAACTGTTCTTTGAGGCTGCGGTTCACAAAATCTACCATTTTAAGCCAAGTACACATTACAGTAACGAACTCATAGGAAGGACACAGCACGAGACCATACCAACTACGATAACAAGCATTATGTATAACTCCAGACAACATCCTAGGGATCAAACTCGGGTCTCCTGTGCGCTACACCACAGACGCTGGTGCAACCATTTACAAATAGCGTCAGTTCAATGTATCACGACGCAGAAGATTCAAGCGCTCGTCAATTCATGAGCATATAAAGTTTTTGGTATCGTTTTAAATACCCATTAGCCTTGAATAGAAGTCGAGATATTTATGATTAAAGGAGGTGTGGGTCGCCTGGTGTCAGAAGCAAAATTAGCGAGAATATTGTGGCCAAGGTGTGCTGACTTGCAACGCTGTAGTGTCCTTGAAAACTGCAAATTCACATTTTTGTGTCTTCGATCAACGTTTTTCAGTAAAATTCTCACAGAAATGTTGTTTTTCAATGGACATAAATGGTGTAGAGACAATAAAGAAGAATTGATTTTTAAAAACTGCCAAAAGAGCTGACAAATTAATGCCTGTTTCTTTGATTTCATTATTTTGAAGAGCGCCTGATTTCACCACGATGCCTCAAGTAAGTAGTAGTAGTAGTATAGGGTTTTACGGCGCTCGCAACTGCATAAGGTCATGTAAAGCTTGTGACAAACTGGGAGGCGGACTGACCTGCATGCATTTGTTGGCCATGAGCTCGAGAAGGGGCACCGTCTCGTTGAAGTCGTCAATCTTTTTCTTCAAGTCGTTGTAGGCCTGCCAGTCTTTGAGTCCTTTGGGCAGCCGGCGACATCTAACGAGATAACATGAACAGTGAGTACAGGCTGTCGACATCTGACGAGGTAACATGGACAGTGAGTACAGGCTGTCGACATCTGACGAGATAACATGGACAGTGAGTACAGGCTGTCGACATCTGACGAGGTAACATGGACAGTGAGTACAGGCTGTCGACATCTAACGAGATAACATGAACAGTGAGTACAGGCTGTCGACATCTGACGAGGTAACATGGACAATGGGAGAAAGTTGTCGACATCTGACGATGGAACATGGGCAATGTGTAAAGGTTGTCGACATCCGATGAGGGGACATGAACAATGAGTGAACGTTGTCGACATTTCACGAGGGGACAGGGGCAATGAGTGAAAGCTGTCGACATCTGACGAGAGAACATGGGCTCTAAAGGTTGTCGACATTAATTGACGAGGGGACATGGACAATAAGTGAAAGTTGTCGACCTCTGACGAGGGAAGAACATGGACAGTGAGCAACAGTTGTCGACATCTCGCTATCCTAGAACTACAACATTATATCTGTTCATTACCTTAGTTTTGAGAAAAAAGACATTAACGTCAAGCCTTTTCGAATACATTTCTTTGAAGATCTTGTTAAGGCATCCGAAAGATCTTACGATTTTGATAGAACAGACAGAACATAATTTTGGTTTCTGACCTCATGGCCTTAGTAACATAAAACAGCTAAAAAGTCTGATTGAACTTTGCAATTCCGATGTACCAATCTGACATACTATGATAAAGGCTGCCCAGTCTTTGACTCGTCTCGAAGAAAGGAAAAAAATAACCAGAAAAGAAGATGACTCAGTGGCGGTGGGTAGTGAAGGGCTTACGGGCTTGAGCCCCCCCCCCCCCCCCACCTCCACCCCCTCCCCACCCCAACTCTATCCCTTATTTCATGAAAGTTTCTTAAATATAACGAAATAGGCAGTTGAAACCGTTTAGGATCACACGCAATGAACACAGAGTGATCAGCTTGGCGGCTTGCCGCTTTATCCAATCATTGTTGTCACCGCTTACAACTATAGTAACCTAACAGTCAATCAAATGTCGTTAGGGCTCAGAAAGAATAAGCCGGTTCCCACGCCCGTCTTTAATGAAACTCTTCTTGTAAAAAGGTAGAAGACTTTTAAAAAATAACATTGCACAGAGGGCTCACGCTCTCCCAGCCCAGACAATGGGCTGAAAGTTTACCACACACTTTCCCCCAGTGACACAGTTACCTATGCGCCCATTGGGCCTTTGTTGGGTGCGTTCTATTTTCCGCGACAACACGACCCAATTCACCTCACAGACGGTTTTTTTTTTTTTTTGGAGTGCTGTGTGTTTGTGCCGCTGAGATTTAACAGTTATTAATTGCATCAAACCACTTTTGAGGCAACTTTTCATCAAATAAAAACTAAATAGAGAAATATTGAGGTGAAACCGTTTCGTCCCAACCATCCAGAAGAATTAAACGTAGAACAAAGAGATGGAAGACAAATGTGACTCTTCTCTTTTGGGTGGTTCTCAAAATGCCGTGGCTCGCCGTGAGTACATCATGCATAGAAAAATCATCACTGTTTTGTTCTTTTTGCTTGCTTTTTGGTGGTAAAGAAGTGGAAGAAACCTAAGCCCCACCCAAATCTTGGTCCACCCACCGCTACTGAGATGACTTCGTTCATACGTTTATCCAAGAGCTCATATGACTTTATGCAGTTGCAAGCGCCGTAAAACTTTCACCAAACTGAAACTTTCTCTGATCCTAATGAGTATGCCTGTGTACAGTGGTAGGTAAAGCAATACGTGACACACATCTGGACTGATAGAGACAGACAAAAAGAGACAGAGACAAGACAGATTGATTGATTGAGTAGGTGTTTTACGGCGCTATCGACTCAATTTTGGTGACGTAGGTGCCAACTGCAACAAATCTAGAATCATATGTTTTAGTAAAAGTTTTTCGGCGTCCGCAACTGCACACGGTCATGTCATCATCATGTTAAAAGAACGGACAGACATTTGTGAAAATATTAATTGTAAATATGGTATAAAGACTCTTATTTTCATTGGTATTTACAATATTAGAGACAAGATTAGACAGACAGACAGACAGACAGACAGACAGACAGACAGACAGACAGACAGACAGA